GCCCGTGAGGGGCACGTCCCCAATGGCTATGTGCTCCAACGACTATATTGTGCACAACGGCTATATTATTCCCTATGGTCGTATTGGGTCTGGCTATATTGTTCGATAGTATAAACCTAGAGCGCTGACTTCTTTCCGGGATGACTTTCTTCACTGGGAAGATCTTCGTCTCTTGCTCGTTTGACGATCTACGGTGCCACACTGATTGAACTTTGCCCTTTGGTAGCCGTTTCGAAGCATCGTCTTGCGGCCTCGATGTCCCCGTGCAGAGCGGCAATATGCCCCTTTTCAGTATAATACTTCATCTTAAGATGAACTGTGGAAGGGACATCAACTAGTTCGGCGAGTGTCGGTCTCCCCAGGATGCATTGATATAATGAGGGGCAGTCTACGACTAAGAACTGAGTCTTAATCGTTTTGGCAGCATCCTCTTCTCCGAACGTAACTTGGAGCTCTACGTATCCCCATTGTCTAGTTGTGGCCCCGTTAAATCCTTGTAGATCCGACCCTACATACAGGAACATGTTCTTCTGGTCGAGTTTGAGGGCACGAAATAGGCTGGTGTACATGATGTCCACAGAACTACCCTGATCGACAAGTATTCAGCGGACATCAGTGTGGGTTAACTTAGATCTGATAAGAAGAGGGATGTGAGACTTGAGAGAGCCTCCAGGGAGATCTTCTCGGTAGAAAGTGATTGGTTGGGATCGTCCTCGAAATTTTTCGAGTGTTGACAGAAGATCTGGACTACAGTTGATTAGTTGTTCGAATTTTCTCTTTACTAGTCCTATTGTGAGTTTGTTGTATCTGCCGCAGGAAATAACCATTGTGCTAGGGAAGGTCTCTCAGGGGTTGTGCATAGAAAAATATGTAGGCCATTTGAACCTGCTGGGGATGAAAAACTCCTCTGGTCGCGAAATAGACATGGTGACCAAAGGGGGAGGGCTAGAAGATGAGGCTCTCGTATCTTTCTTAGATTCCGACGTTTCTCCTTGGGGGGCTTCTCATTTCTTCATATGCAGATTTAGGTGGCCCTATTTGATGAGGATTTCAATAACGTCTTTCAAGTGGATACAATCTTCTGTTACATGGTCTTGACTGCGGTGGAAGCGACAATATTTACTTTGGTCGGTATTACTCTTCGAAGTTGTTCGCTTGGGGAATTGGACGCCTCCTTGCTTGAATTCGGCGTTGATACATTTGGACAGAATACGCTCGCAGGGAGCGGTCAACAAGGTGTATTTGGTGAATCGACCTGCAGGGCCTTTGTGATCTCGGGGACGATCGTCTCGTCGCCTGTCTTTGTCTCGCTTGAAAGTTTCTGCTTCGTCTTTCTTAGACGCTCTGGAACTCTCTTGGTCCCTCGAGTCTCTAGCCTTACACGCGGATTTCAACCGCTTCTTTAGTAAACCTGTCGACTTAATTGCATAGAGGTTTGTCCCTGCCCTGGATGATACCCTTAAGCGTAGCTTCAGAATTCGGGTGGCGCCTGGAGGTAGTAAAGTGTCGGGAAGACTGCTTCTTAAGACTCCTTCATGACGTGATCGAGCCCTGGGGAAGGCTATTGTACCAAGTCATAGCCCCTTTCCTGAGGGTGGTGGGGAATAACCTGCATTTGGTCGCTCCAAGGACATTGTGGTAGTGCATCGTGGCCTCAGTGTTTTCTATGTGGTCACTAGGGTCGGTGGTACCATCATAGAGAGCTGTAGGGGGAGGTTTCTCCAGTCCGCTTGGAATGCGGGTGTCCATGATTTCCTATGACATGGGACCGCTTGCGTTGTCTTTGTCGCTCATGCTGGGCGACCTGCTGAACGAATAACTGCGTCTCCGACTCCTGCTGTGTCGAGGAGAACGTTCACGTTGGCTTCGGTGCTCTTCGCGAGGCTTTTCGAAAGGCCTAGTCTTTTTGGATATGGGGGAGTGCCTGGATTTCCGAGGAGGGGTACACTCGCGCTTTCGGATGGTCTCATGTCTACGCTTCTCCAGTTTGAACCGTTCTTTGATAGGGTAGATGCTTCTAGATTCGTCTTGGCGATGCTTTTGAAGAGGGGAATATGACCGGCGAGATGGGCTGAGGGATCCCCACAGGGGAGGTCGTTCTCCGATGGTGTTTTCCAGCATGTGGATTTTTTCTCCTTGTTGGAAGAGCAGATAGTTGGATTTGTTGAGGGCGGCGATGAGGGCCGCTGTGCAAGGGTCAGCATCTTGTGGGATGGTGGTAGGTTCGTATACATGGTCGAAACTTTAGACACGAGGCTTCATGTTGTCAGAAGATGCGGGTTTTCCGTCCCTGTGATCAATTTCTCCGGTGGCAATTTCGAGAATGGGGGTTTCATCACAATCCAGAACAGCGACGAGGGAATCTTGCTGGACGTCATTACAATGGGAGGCCATGACGGTGAAGGTTTCAGAGAGGTAGCTTTGGTCTTTTTTTTTGGGAAGATTGGGAAATCTTGGTTCAAAAAGACGATGGAGCTGATGTTCCTACAGTCGGCGCCACTGATCTGGCGTGGTCAGAATGGATCGTCTTGACCTTCAATGTAGGGTAACAACAGTGGTTGTAGGAGAGGAGGCAATTGTACCTGCAAGGGACTCCAATGCCAAAGTAAGTGTTTGGGCTAAAGAGAGAAAGCAAGTACGAGTATTTAGGTATGAGCAAGAATGATTAGAATACTTGATCCTCTCAAGAGAGAGGGTATTTATAAGTTTTTCTTCCAGCGCGGGGCCAAGGTCTCCCATGTAACCAAAATATCTGGTTGGCCAATGGAGGACTATCAGGTGAAAGGTCTAACGCGTGATCTTTGACCTGGTCTAACTGTCTGCGTAACTTTTGGAGGGGCAGTTGGTCGCGTGAACTATCAAGCGCGTGAAGGATAATTTCCCAATGACTATGTGCTCTAACGACTATATTATGCCCAACAGCTATATTGTGTCATATGGTCGTATTGGGCATGGCCTTAAACTAGATTGGATTGAGTCTTGTCCAGCTGTGGAGCAGGTGTCAGTCCAATCCAAAACCCAATATTTTTTAGAATCTTAGTCCCCTATTTTATTTTGATGTCATTTTTTATGACAAGGCAGCTAATTGATAATTTGTTATTGCTTAAGTGGCTTAAATGAAATTTTAAGTCATTTATAATTATTTTTTGTTTTAATAATAATATAAATTAATATATTTCTAAAAAACAAATATAGAAAAAATAACTTTATTTGAATTATATCATTGAAGCAAAAAATTATTATTAAATTCATTTAAATTAAATTATTTATTTATTTATTTTATAAATAGCTTAATTTTTATTATTATTAAAACAAAAAAACAATTATAAACAATTTGGAATTTAAGCGACTTAAACAATAACATCATTAATTTACTCTCACATCAACAAAAATGACATTAAAAATAAGGAGCCAAATTTTCAAAGATTAAAACTTAAAATATATAAAATAAAGGGATGAAAACTACAATTAAATCTAAATTTTTAAACTCCTCTTTTGTTTTATCTTTCTTCAAATAAATTTATTTATTTATTTTAAGAATTAGATATGACTCTAAAATAATGGAAGTAGGAGACAGAAAATGCACAACCAATCAAGTGTGCGCGTGGAGTATGTTGCCTTGGAGTGCAATTGGGAAAAGAAGTATTAGTTGGAGAGTCGTATCATCACAATGACGCAATTGTGAAACGTAAGATCCCAAGTTTCCATGACATCACTCTCGTCTTTCTCAACACATGTCCATATCTTTTTTTACACTTCAAAAGTCTTCCCAATATATTAACTTTTTTGTAGTTGTATAGTTAATTTGAAAGTTGTTTATAGTACTAGTGCTTTCCTTTTTAATAATCTACTTTATATTTCAAAATAAAGTTCACTATCTAATTAATCAATGTTCACCTAGTACTAGTAGTATTCTCTCTAAAAAAGATACTAGTGTTTTGAAAAGAGCCATAAAGATTAATCAAAAAGAAAAAAAGAACCAATAGAATACAAAAAACATTAGGATATGAAGTGATAATCATAAATTAGTTAGGAACTAGTGGGTATTCTTTCTTAAAAGATTAGATTCAATTAGAATTTTAAACCATCCCACTCACTATTATTATTTATTAATTTGTGTAAAATGTCAAATATACATTTGTAAAAATAAATATTTAAACATATACAAATAAAAATATTTAAAAAATATAATATTTTAGTCACGTTAATAATTGTCCTATCTAAAATTAAAAATTATTGGTAGAGTGTAGAAATAATGTTTTATTATGATAAATTGTATAGTCGACTCTATGTAAATCAAACGATTTACTAATGGATGAGAATATAATATACCGATTTATAAGAGCTTATAATCTAATCTATTTAAATATGATTTGATAATATAATTAAAATTTCAAAGTCTATTTAATTAAATAGATCAAACATAAATTATTAAAAATATCTATACAATTTTATAAACCTATTTATATATCCATATATTTTAATAAATATGTTAAATATTATATAAAAAATTATATTAATATTTATTTAAGAAATATATATAAAATGAATTATTTAAAAGGTTTAATATGAATAGACTTGAATCAAAAATAAGTATTTCTTCATTCTGTATTTGGCCGACCTAGAACAATAATTTGTTTTTATTCGAACGTCAAAATATTTTTTATTTAAAATTGTGGCCGAATAAAATAGATTTTGTATGATACTAACTTTTTTCTACATCTTATAATTAAGTTAAGAATGCATATTTTAATTCTGTACTTTTTTTATTGATAGTCAAGAGAAAACAATTACTGCGTACTAATCCATATTAATATTACTTTTTATTTTTTTTAATCAAGGTGCTTTCCTTTTAAAAATATAAAAAGAAGACTTTTCTTAACCGGGTCCTTATTCTATTCTTTGTCAGAAAATCACATTCACACTACTTATATTCTCATGCTTCTTTGATCTATGTTTCTTCTGTATCCATTTCACAAATAAATATAAATAATTCTATAATGGAAATTGAGAAGAGGAAGAAGAAGAAAAGAGTCACAAAAGAGGATGAAGAAAAAGAAGAGAATAGTGGTGTTCCAACCGAGGAAGAAGTTGAAGAGTTTTATACAATACTCAAAAGAATGAAAGCGGTGGTCAAATATTTCGACGACAAAGGAAAATGCGGAAGAGACTGGAGAGAAACGCTTGAGAAACCGGCGGAGCTCGCCGTCGCCCACGGCGGAGAAAATATCTCCTCCGTCAAAGCTGTCATTAAGAAGGAAAAGGTTGATGGGGAAGTTCTAACTAAAAATCATGGTTTTGACTTGAACGCCGTGGCTCCTGAAGCCGCCGAAAGCGGTGGCGCGTAGGATTTGTATCTTGGGATGTTGGTTCACGCGCCGTCGTTGTAACATTGAAGGTTTGGTTTGGTTTCTCCGAACGAGAGATTGATTCCACACCTGTCTTTCTTTTCTTCATATTTTTTGTTTTTTTTTTGAACTAATTTTAACTTTTTTAAGAAAATAATTGTGAGGTTGTAATAATTTAGCAACGTTGTCGTTTGTTGAACACTTTGTTTCTTTTTTTTTTGTTGTTGTTGTCGTTTTGGATCTGTTTTAATCTGAAATTAAATATGATGTGACTTGGTACTGAAATTTATTTTATTTCTGTAAACGGTGAACTTTTTCCTTGTGAGAGTTTTGTAAAAGAAGTCTATCACATTCTAACTCATGCATAAATTAAGTCTGAGTTGATTTGAAAGCTTCTTTGAAATAAAGTTAAGCCTCTTAGTATAGAATCTTTTCAATCTCAAAATACCGATTAAAGACAACTTGGTTATTTTTTGGTTGCTTCGTTAGGACGTGCACGAAGTTGTGGAAAAGAGGAGAATATTAAACATATATTCTTAGAATCCAACATTCTAAAATGGTTGGAAATTTCAATTTTTTTTATTTTTTTATTTTTTTATTTTATATTTTATAACACTCCCTTATTTAGTAAAGATGAACTTATTGAGTTGGATAATTGACATTTGAGTTAATAGAAGAGAGGGAAATCGGAGGACCTTCAACTGTAATGAATCAAGCTTTTTTGTTGAAGGCTAAAAGGTTAAAAGTATTTATTGACATAAAATCTTTGTAGTCTAATTCTTCTGTTTTTATTTTATTGTTTTACTAGTTAACTTTATTATGTTTGTTAGTTTTTTTTTTCTTGTAGAAAATACAATGATAATGTCTATTCATACTGTGATCATAATAAAATATTTGTACTAATTATGTGGAATTAGTGAATGGATGCTTCAAACCCTACTAGGGCTTGAGATATTTTTAGGTGTGTTGGGTCATTGCTATAGTGAAGGAAGAAATCATTTTTTATTTTTATGGATTTGACCATGATTCTAAGATTTTGATCAGATCATGGGAGTGAGTAGAATTGGTCTCTCTTAATCATAAGAGAAGTATGGTTGACTGTAATATCATCATTTTTACCCTAACATTTTCATAATACCTATTAATCATATCATTTCATTAGTATCGTATGACCATTAATTTGCAAGCACGATGATTTATAAATTTGAGTATGAGAACTTTCTCTCTGATTGCTTTCCTTAAGGTTCTCCAAAATCACTTGTGTGTTCCATTGGCCTTCCATTGGCCTAATGCTTTGGTCTTATGCTTGTTGCCTCTGTAGTTAGGGTTTATTCATCATGATGTCATCTAACCATTATACATCTAAGTACAAAATATGGTGCAGGTGTTTCTCTTTGTGTGTATTAGGATCAAGGTGCCCATAATTCAAGTCCAATGAGATTCATATTGTCATTATCACTCAACACCAATTCATTTTGGTTCATGGTGGGTCTATTCTATTAAAAAGGGTTCCAATTTGCTTAAGTGAAGTAAATGCACAAATCATTCATTCATGGTTCAAGATCTTCTTTTAAGATTGATTCAAGTTTGCTCCACATTCCATTAATTATTCAATTTTGAATTTTGGTTGTAAGAAGAATCCAAGCCTATGCAAAAAAGGATTCAAGGATGTTTTATGTGTTTCATTGGATTCAAGTCAAGCATTAATGTCTAGGCAATTCTACTCATTTTCAAGTCATGTGTTTGGATCCAAAGTGACCATTATGCATTATGGTTTTGCTTCGCCTTAATCAAGTTCATCATGAAGGAAAATTGCGATCTAAACGCAGCGGAAAACAAAAATTTTCCTTTAGTGATCCTCACGAATGAGCATGGTCAGTGATAGAATCGTTACCTCTTTGTGGCGATTCAGATCTTTGATGCAGCGATCACAAGCGTTGATGAAGTGCAACGCCTCTACTCAGTCCACACGAACAGCTTCCGGTCACAGTGCTAGCTGCTTACGAACGGAATTATTTGAGTGAGAAAAGAGAATCAAAAACGAAATTGCATCAAGTGAAAGCTTCATCACAAGGGTTCCTTTTATAGACTCTCTTGTGGGCTGCGGGCTAAAACCCTAATTCACATGATCCATAATAATATTATATATTATTATAATAACTATTATTATAATATATATTTATTTTATTATTATTTTATAACCATTATAAAATAACAATAATTATTATTATATTATCCGAATTTCTATTTTTTCACTTAAGTGCACCGTACCTTACGGTGTTCCTTTGATTTCTCTATCTCTCATCAAACTGTCCTTATGTGTGTGACCCTGTAGGATTTCGTAACGTTGGTAATTATATTAAATTATATATATTTAACATAATAAACAGTAAGCGGTATCTAGCAACACATCACTGCTACCCAAGTCACGAAAATGTCATGTGATCTGACAAAACCTTTTTCGTGATAATATATGTTTGTACAATTACCCTTTTGCCCCTATGTCTATATTGAACACAAGGCATACACTGTGTCATCCTTGTCCAGTTCAATATTGGGCCCTTAGACATTTCTCCTGTTATGCAGGATTGGCAAATTCCATCTAGGACACTCATGTCCCTCAGCATGCTTCGTGGAGTGCCCATCAACTGTCTTTATGATCATCCAGTTACGGATAATGTTTGATCAGCAATAAAGCACCCGACTCTACATCTAGGGTCCATAGTGGTTTCAGGTCGAAGGGTGGTAATACACCATTATCACCATGAGAATAACTTATGACACTTTGCATAACATACTATGTAGTATTCTCATAGCGGGTCAATCCGGTATAAATATTACTCCTAATATTTATACCTATGTCAAGACTTGATAACTCTTTATCCATGATCCATGAGATGTGATCATCAGTCTATCTTCATAATAGTCTCAATGCTTTTAATGTTATCCCACTTTGCAATAAAGCTTGACTACGGATATTTTAAGAATAATGTCTTTATGTTTAATGGGATCTCATGATTAAGTCACACTTAACATTTCATTAAACAGACTAACTATTCTAGGGACTTTATTATTCTGAAAGACAAACATAATAAAGAAATGCCTTTTATTATTAAACGAATAATCTGATACAAGTACCAAAAAGTATTGGCCTCTAGGGCTTACACCAACAATCTCCCACTAGCACTAGAGCCAATTAGGCATACCCCTAATACCCATAGATCTAGTATGACCATCATGCTTCTGTTGCGCAAGAGGCTTTGTTAATGGGTCAGCGATATTGTCAAGTGTAGGTACTCTGCATATCTTCACATCTCCCCGATCGATTATCTCTCTAATGAGGTGATAACGCCTAAGTATGTGTTTGGATCGTTGGTGAGATCTAGGCTCCTTAGCTTGTGCGATAGCACCATTGTTATCACAATATAAACCAATGGGATCCACAATGCTAGGGACTATGCCAAGTTCACTGATGAACTTCTTGATCCAAACAGCTTCCTTTGCTGCATTTGAGGCAGCAATATACTCGGCCTCAGTTGTAGAATCAGCAACTGTTTCTTGCTTTGAACTTTTCCAGCTCACAGCGCCACCATTGAGACAGAACACATAACCAGATTGTGATCTAAAATCATCCTTATCTGTCTGGAAGCTAGCATCAGTGTAACCAATTACATCAAGCTCTTCCTGACCTCCATATATCAAGAATGAATCCTTAGTCCTTCTCAAGTACTTAAGGATATTCTTGACAGCTACCCAGTGAGCATCACCGGGATCAGATTGGTACCTACTCGTTGCACTTAATGCATACGAGACATCTGGTCGAGTACATAACATGGCATACATGATAGATCCTATTGCAGATGCATATGGAATCTTATTCATGCGATCCCTTTCTTCCTTAGTTGAAGGGGATTGTGTTTTTGATAAACACAAACCATGTTGCATAGGTATGAATCCTTTCTTGGAATCATGCATATTAAAGCGTCTCAACACTTTATCTATGTATGTACTCTGACTTAGGCCAAGCAGTTTTTGTGATCTATCTCTATAGATCCTAATTCCTAATATATAAGCTGCTTCACCTAGGTCTTTCATAGAAAAACAATTCCCTAACCAAGTCTTCACTTGTTGCAAGGTAGGGACATCGTTTCCAATGAGTAATATGTCATCTACATATAATACCAGAAACACGATCATGCTCCCACTAACCTTCTTGTAGACACAAGGTTCATCTTCATTTTTGATGAATCCATATTGTCTTACGGTTTCATCAAAACGAAGATTCCAGCTTCTGGAAGCTTGCTTCAATCCATAGATTGATCGCTGTAACTTGCATATCTTTTGGGCATCTTGTGGTATGTCAAATCCTTCAGGTTGTGTCATGTACACATCCTCAAGAAGATTCCCATTAAGGAAAGCAGTTTTGACATCCATCTGCCATATTTCATAATCATGATATGCAGCGATGGCAAGTAAAATCCGAACAGATTTAAGCATTGCAACTGGTGAAAAGGTTTCATCATAGTCAACCCCATGAATTTGTTTATAGCCTTTTGCAACCAGTCTTGCTTTATAGGTATGTACCTTACCATCCATGTCAGTCTTCTTCTTGAAGACCCACTTGCATCCTATAGGGTTAACTCCTATAGGAGGTTCTACCAAGGTCCAAACCTGGTTTGTGTACATGGAATCCATTTCAGATTTCATGGCTTCTAGCCACTTCTCAGACTCAGGACCAGTTATGGCCTCTTTGTAGGTCACAGGCTCATCTTGATCCATGAGTAATATATCACCCTGATCACTTATGAGATATCCATATCTCTCAGGTTGGTGACGTATCCTGCTTGACCTACGCTGGTCTTGTTCTTCTTGAGCAGGTTGCTCTTCCACAACTACTTGTGTTTCCTGCTCTAGTTCCTCCATAGGTGTTTCAATGTTTTGTGATTCTTGAATTTCTTCAAGCTCTATTTTCCTCCCACTGTTTCCTTTGGAAATAAAAT